AAGAATTTTCCTCTGCTTATTAGGGTAATTGTTTGCTCCCGAGAAATAGTGAATCTTTTTAGGCTAAATAGCACTTAAATATCTTATAGCTTCACCCACTTTGCACTTATAATATACCCTCTCTTGTTTTTTGTGGCATTTATGTATCTTAAGTTGCAAACATGAAACTTTTTGCCTTAGGGCCTGTTTGGATTTGTAGGGGGTGAAGGGAAGTTAGAGAGAAGAGAAGAGAAGGGAAGAGAAGGGAAGGGAGTTCCCTTCCCCTTGGTTACACCCCAATTTGAGGGGTAACAAATTTTATACTATTAGGGGGTGAACCAAGGGGAACTAGGGTGAATTAACTTCACCTCCTAAGTGTTCCCAAACAAGGTGTTAATGTTCTGATGTGACACTCATTTGCTAATTGATTCTAAGTGTCATGTGAGAATGTCCAATTGAAAATTTTCATCTCCGCATGATAGAGGGTATTGATGGGTCAATTTTAAACAACTTAGGGTAAATAAATGCTGCAGAAAACAAGTGAGGGTACGTAAGTGCAATGTGAGTGAAATTATTAGGTAATTAAGTGCTATTTAGCCTCTTTTTAGGGTAATTTTCACAAAACTCCATCAAGTTTGGTCATTCCAGATACCCCTTAACTCTATGGATAAACTTGCTCACCCTCACCCAGCCCCCCCGCCAGCTTTCGTAGTTCTAAGAAATACTCACTACTTCCCAACTTTCGCTGTCTCCTAAAAATACCACTAAAGCGTGAACACAATTTTCACCGTGTAAAAATATGCTCCTGCATAATTTTACCCTCGGGACTCTGTGGTTATCGCCATCGGAAGGGGGGAGGTTGGGTTGGTGAGGACCCCAAAACTTGGGGGGTTATGGAAAGTTGAAAGTTGCAGGGTTATACTGACTGTACGCTAAAATGTTTTGTGGGTTGCCCCCCCCCCCCCTCCCCTCTCCGGATGGGGGGGGGCTTACTTGTGGACAGCTTGAAAGTCTAAGGGTTCACCTTCTATGCATCTGGGGTTTAGGAGTTTTAGAGGCTTAATTTGTGATACGCTTTTGAAGTATTTAGGATGAACTATCTTATGCACTTGAACATGGATATTACATTTATGAGTTCTGAATTATATGGCAGTGATGAGTTAACATTAAACATATACTATTCCGTTGGCATTTGTTGCAGGAAATAACAGCCACTGGTTCTCTTGAACATGCTGTTCAAGTCTTTCGTTGGTTGAAAAATCAAAAGATCTATTGTGCTCGGAGCGACATCTATAACATGATGATACGGTTGCATGCTAGACACAATCGAACTGATCAAGCACGTGGCCTGTTTTTTGAAATGCAAGAATGGAGGTAAGCATGATATCAACCACACAGTCTATTTTACAAAAGAGCATGTTCTAATAACTATGGGTTTGATATATACTGTATATAGGCACATGTAGGATTATGCACATGGCTGTGTTGTGTCCCTGTATTCTACTTATTGAATGATTTTCTATGTTCTTGTCTTTGTATCTTATCATATCCCGCTTTCATGTCCGAGTTGTCTTGTCCACGCCTCCTAGCGTAGTATCAAAAATAACTGACTGAAGGAGAACTTAGAGTGGGAAAGAGAAAATAGTATGTGCATTGATAACATGTGTCATAAGTTGATATAGTGCGTAAATTCTTTAGTGAGATATCTAATTGGATTGAAGTGAAGACTTGAGTAACTTCCACCAAAAGGATGTCTTATATGAAACAATTACAATTGGCCAAAGATGCAGAGGTGGATTGCCACTTCAAATGTACAGGACTAGACAGTTACGAATATAATACTTTTTCATTTCATCTTTTTCCCCCCCCCTCTCCCTCTCTCTTCCCCCCTCTCCCTCTCCTTCTCCCTCTCTCTCTTAGATGCAAAGCCTTGTCAATAATCTGATTGCAGGCCTTTGTACATTATGCTAAAACTATACAGTACGCAATATGGCTATGCATAAAAGGGTTTTAGGTATGTAACATCCGTCTGTACTGATAAGAGGTGTTTCCTAGCATCAATTAAGTAAATTCTGTATTAAATAGTTGATATGGATGTCACACTCTGTGACTGAGCTTTATGAAGCTAGAGTTGTTGGATTTGGTTGTTTGGTTGTTTGTTCGCTTGCTTGCTTTTTCTTTTGCTTGCTATTGCTGTAATTAATGCATCATTTCATTTCAGGTGCAAACCTGATGCTGAAACCTACAATGCTCTCATCAATGCACATGGTCGAGCTGGTCAGTGGCGTTGGGCCACAAATATAATGGAAGATATGCTTCGTGCAGCAGTATGTCATTGTAATCTCCTTATCTGATGCTGCTTTCTATGATAGATATGGATCAGAGTCACCACATAGACCTGCAAATACTAGAGTACAATACAAAATAATCTCTTCATCAGTTTCATGTTTCACTGAATTCATAACTCCAACATTCTTTTCTACCTGTTAATATTTGCTTTAAATATGTGTTTCCCTCTGGTATTTATTCTTGAATGTGCTGTTATTTATATATTAATGCATCTGTATTGATTTGAACATGTGCTGTTTGTATCAAACAAAAAACATCAATCCATAGTGGTTAGGGCACATTATATTGACGTATGCACATCGAAATATATGTTTTCGTATATTCTGCTGATTACCATTAAATATATTCCGTTGGACATTTACTTATTATATGACATTTAGTAAACTATTTCTCTATTCCCTTTCTAAATTTTTTTCCTGCTTAATTCCTATAGAATGTGGATGCAGATACCTCCTAGTCGAACTACATACAACAATTTGATCGGTGCTTGTGGAGCTAGTGGTAATTGGAAGGAGGCTCTAAAAGTTAGCAAAAAAATGACTGAGAATGGTGTTGGGCCAGATTTGGTTACTCACAACATAGTTTTATCTGCTTTCAAAAAGGGGAGTCAATATTCTAGAGCACTGGCGTACTTTGATCTGATGAAAGAAACAAACATTTGTTCAGATACAATCACTCTTAATATAGTCATACATTGTCTTGTAAAGCTTGGACAATTTGACAAGGCTGTGGATATTTTCAACTCAATGAGGGAGAAAAGAATACAGTGCCTCCCTGACGTGGTAACATTTACTAGTATTATTAAAGCGTATTCAATTTGTGGTCAAGTCGAAAACTGCAAAACAGTTTTTGATATGATGCTTGCTGAAGGAATAAAGCCTAATATTGTTTCATATAATGCTCTTCTTGGTGCTTATGCTTCACATGGGATGCATGAAGAGGCTCTAGCTATTTTTAAGTCACTTAAGCAAGCTGGCCTCAGACCAGATGTTGTATCCTATACTTCATTGCTCAATGCTTATGGCAGATCTGGACAGCCTGAAAAAGCCAAGGAAATCTTTGATTTGATGAAACAAAACTCATGTAGGCCAAATAAAATAAGCTACAATGCATTGATTGATGCTTATGGGTCTGCAGCAATGTTGGCTGAAGCCGTTGAAGTTTTGCGTGAGATGGAAAGTGATGGCATTCAACCTGATGTTGTCTCAATAAGTACTCTTTTGGCAGCCTGTGGACGCTGTGGCAAAACAGTAAAGATTGACTACATACTTGTAGCGGCTAAATCTCGAGGGATTAAACTGAATGTAGTTGCTTATAACTCGGCTATTGGCAGCTATATTAGTTTCGGGGAGTATGATAAAGCTTTGGCATTGTACCTGTCGATGAAAGAGAATAATATAAGACCTGATTCTGCGACTTTCAATATATTAATAAGTGGTTCGAGTAAGATGGGTAAGTATGAGAAATCCCTTGAGTTTTTTGACGAGATGAGGAGTATGAATATTCCATTATCTAAGGAGGTTGGCTCATCATTAATAAGTGCTTGCAGCAGACAGGCAAGTTGTCAGCCTTTATTAGCTTTGAAATTCTATATTAAATATGATGATCTGGACACATAAGCTCACTCCTATGTTTCCAAACTTTTTTAGGGTCAGCTGGATAAAGCGGAGACCATTTTCGCAATGATGAAGGAAGTTGGTTGCTCCTATGATGTTATATCGTATACTACTATGATGCATGCTTATAGTACAGCTGGTAATGTCATATTGTATTGTAATTAATAATCAATATTGAATTTTATTTAAGCTTGCTTGATTGGAACTGCTTTAGGCGATTGGAAGAAAGTTTGGGAAGTTTTTAAGGATATGGAAGAGAATGACATTCAACCAGATCCTGTAGCATGCTCATTTCTTATGGAATCTCTTAATAGAGGATGCCAACCTACCCGGGTTCTTGAGTTGGCAGAGTTGATGAGGGAGAAAAACATCCTTTTAAATTCGCGTGCCTCTTTTGAGGTCTTATCTGCTTCAAGCATGTAAGTCTTCTCTTGCATACTAATGGATATGCTTGACAAGAACAATTTTGTATCTTTAATGCTACTGTTAGTTTTGTGTTATGTAATTATAGCAGCCACAATCATTTGCTCTTTCCATCCTGTTAATTGTCTTATTCAAATTTAAAGTGGCTTCTGTGTTTTCTGAATATCGTCCTAACAACTAAACCTTTCCTTTTAAAATAGGATCTGCTATGGAGCATTGCTAGCAGTTGAGAAGTCTTAGCAAAAAATTGGTCATGTTTTTACAATCATCAAAATTTTAGTGTTTAAACTGCTATGTTTTAGACTTTTAGTTTCTTTGATACAAGATAATGAATTTTTTAGTTCTCCTGTTTTTATCTTGTACATGGATGATCCATATGCACAAATTGTTATCCTTTCCTGAGGATATATTTTCTTGATTTCCAGATCTACATTAGTTTTTTTCTTTTCCCAGCAAAGCAGTAGAAAACAAATGCAAGAAAGAGGTATCATTCAGCCTCGTTTGGACAACTACCAAGCAAGGTTTTAAATATCGGATGTGGGGGAAATATCGGATGGCCAAAATTCATATCGGATTGCATATATCGGGGGTATATGGTATATATCGGAATGTCATAATGGATGATTGCATATATAGTATAATGCACTAAAATGTAATTTTAACATACTTAATGAAATCTAAACCTATAAAATGTAAATAATATATGTTTAGCATCACTAATCAACCTTGTAAAACAAACAAAAATACAAATCAACGTTGCAACATTCGTCTGATTTTTTTATGCCAAAATATCATCTGATATAATGGGAAAATCATAATATGTCGTGCAAAAATTGCCAAATGTAGTATATTATTTTGCGACAAGCTATATAAAAGGATAGATCGGTCAACATAACAGCTGATATATCAGCCATAGCAGGGATATATCGCCCAAAATAGCCAAAAAGCGGTAAATGGTATTTAGAGACTATATCGGTTGCAGTAAGCCCTCTAAAAGGATATATCGGGGGATATATTGGGCCATGTCGGGGATATTTAAAACAATGATACTAAATCCTTTGTTGGGAGAACTATGATAATGAATTACACTTGTGTCAGTAGATCATGACTCTTGTCTTGACTACTAATTTCTCAATGTTGCTTTAGTTAGGACTGCAACAATTTTTGTTTTCTTTGTATGTAACTTTATGGGACTTGTTGAAGATCTTAATGTTATTCTACAGGTTAAATGATGATCAAATATCTTTTCTGGTTACTCATTAACAACTTTCTCTTCTCCCCGTTAAGATTGAGAGATTGGAGAAAAGCAAGTGAGATCGTGGAACACATGGACCTTTCGTTGTCATTGACATCAGTTGGCCTCTTGAATCAACTTCTGCATTTCCTTGGCAAAAGTGGGAAAATTGAGACTATGATGAAGGTACCTGGTAAAATGCTAGATTATATGTTTAATATTCCAATTTAATTTCCCCCTAAAATTACACATTAAAATGACTGATATCCATATCTGTCACATTATGCTATTCAAAGTCTACTACATTCTTTACTTTTATGACATATCATTTCTTTTGGAAAGTTTCTCTGTATGTCTTGGTTCATTGAGTTGATGTCCATAACTGTTCTCATTTTCTATATTTAGTTAATTTTCAGTATTTTTTATGTGCAGCTATTTTATAAGATAGTGGCTTCTGGTGAAAAAATCAGCTTCACAACTTATTCTGTTCTCTTGGAGAACCTTTTAGCTGTTGGGAAATGGAGGAAGTATATTGAGGTGAGGAGAACCTCTATAATGATATAATTTATTGGAATTAAATGACTGTTTCTTCGTAGCAGTTTACCTTGTTCATGGTATAAAACTTCTTTCTTTTCTGTTCTTTTTGCTGGAATGCTCTCGAGGACCCCAGCTGTCCCTTCTCTATTTTGTTAATAAAACATTAGAACATGAGGGATTTATAAACACTACCTCATGCCTGACCCACTTAATCGGGCTGCTACTCCTAATTATTACAGAAACAAAAGAAAAAGATTTGTGTTCTAATGCCTATTTGAGGAGACAAGAAAGATGAAGGAAACCAAAACTTGAATCTCTTTGGAAATACCAAAGGCTGGATATTCAAAGAATGCATTTTCTTAAGTGCCTGACAAGGTAGAAATCAACAACACTTATTATTACCTTTTTTCTAATGGATCTGTACTACTCTAGAATGACTACAATGATACTCATTCAGAGTCAGAAAAGCCTTAATGCTCTGAATTAAATAAGAGCATTGGCACCATTCCTAATATCTCATAGAAGTTGGGACCAGCTTCCACAATGACATTCTTATCACCTTTTGAAGACATTGTAGCATCTCACCGAACATTGCTTATTCATTCTGCATTAAAAATATCCTCTGGTCACCAATAAAACAAGAAATGTAAAGAACACTCGCATCTTTTTATGGGATTACCCCTCCGCCTGAATCACCAGAGGAATTATGCCCTTCCGCATTGTGCTTAAGAGAGCTATTAGGAGGATATTGATATTTGAGTATCTATATGAAGGTTCGGACTTTTTATGCTTGCCTATAAAGCATTCCAATGATCTAGGACTGCTGAAAGGAGATCTGACAATAATAGAGGCTTAAAAGCAGAACATTTTATTCCTGTAATACTTTATAGGCCAAAAAAATCTTGGGCAACAAAATAACGAGTCCAGGAAATTTAGTGTAGATGCATGGGTGGAAATACGCTAAAAGGGAGGATAGTAAATGTCTAAATGACTGCCTTCATGAGAAGTTAGAGTTTTTTCTATTGAAGATAAAAACGAGGGAGAATCAATTTAGGTGCTTTACAGGTCAATTTTAAGTAGCCAACTCTTTATCTCTCTAGACACACACATATGGATATACTTGGTTACTTCAAGGCAAATCCTTCCCGTTCAAATTCGGTATTTGCAACTATATGAAAGATTCACTCCATTAAAGTTAGATTCATTTTTTGAGAAGCACCTAAAATAAAAACGTACATCTCTTAAAGTTGTTTGGACCATGCATCACATGTTTTGAATGGATTTTTCTTTATTATACACAGTTGTTGCCTGTTGGTTTTGTTGAATTTCTTCTCTTTAAATCATGATAAATTCTTTTTGTTCTAGATTATATTTGTTAAGTTCCAGTTGACTTTTCCACCTTGCTTTTTCAATTCATCTTTTGCATATTCTTTGCCATATCATTTTTCAGCCTTGTTGATGTGCTGGCATAACAATAAATTTTTGCATGCTCAGGTGCTACAGTGGATGGAGGATGCTGGAACTCCACCATCACCTCAGATGTACATTAATGTCCTTTCATACACATCGAGGGACAAAAATACGGAGTATTCTGTTCAGATTCAAGAAAGATTGCGTAAGAGATTTTCTTTTTATTTGACAATATTCATACTTCAAAAGAAATGCTGCTGGAAAATAGTGAAGCACTGTTTTACTGGTGCTTCTATATCTTTGCAACACCTTTGATTCTAGACATAATTACATTAGCAAGAAAAGCTAAAGTTTTCTTGCTGTTCAACGTCATGGTCTAGTTGACACTTTCATTTAGTCTGAAAATATTGCACATTATATGCAAGCTTTGAATGTTTATCTTATCTGTTCATGTCTTCAAGTTGATCAAAAAATTTCTCCTTTTGTTACTCTCATCATATCACCTTAGCCTTTTCCTACAAAATTGGTTGAAGGTGGAGCCCAAGTTGATGAAGTATTTAACAAAAATATTCACCTTGGTCAACTTTATTTAACCCAAGTGTCAAATTCTGAATCAAGGAAATTACAGCAAAGCGAGGGCTGTATCCTTAAGAGCAGTTGGCATATAGTATCACCTAGGCACTCTTCTTGCAACCAAGAAGTATAGCTCAACATTTTTTCTTGATTAATAAGACAAGAAATTGACTAGAGATGATTGATCTTTTTAGTGAATACTTGAGATTTAAGCTGATGTATAAAGCGAAGAGCAAATAGAACATATTCCAGTGATTCTTGGTTTATTAATCATTCATTCAGTCTGAAGTTGAAGGAAACATGAGTTTCTGTTAGGGAACCATGGACTCGTACGAAAAGATTACATGTTGTAGGGAGAGATTAAAACTGAAAGATCGGTACATTTTTGTATTATACACAGCTGAAATTTAAGTCCGGTAATTATAAGTTGTTTAATCAAAATGACAATGTATAGTTCAACCACATCAATAAGCATAATTTGATGCATGGTTACTTCCTTAAACAAAGTTCATAGGACCTTTGGAAAAGAAAAAAACAATTTCACATCAAGCTATCATCTCCAATGGATCTATCACCATTATTATTCATCTTCATTTTTTTCACGTGCACAAACTATGTTATATCAACTATTTACCTTTTCTCCCTTTGAGCAATAGCCTTAAAGGTTAAGGGTCTTACTGCTAATTAGCAAAGGAATAAAAAAACTCATTCGATGCTTGATTATTAGAACTAACAATAAAATGATAGCATTTATTAGAAATTAATAAGTGCAACTCTCCCCTTCTTTTCTCCCCCCTTGATGTTGTGCTGTTTGCTTTCCTTCAAAATCCAAAAGCAATCACGAATGTTTATCCAAGAGTTTTCTTATGTTAGACAGGGTTCTCTCTCTCGAATCCATTCATCAATCACCCGATCATAATCTATCATCAAAACCTATCATGATCTGTTCACTTGGGCTTTGTTCCTGTAATTGAACTTCAAAGTTCTTCCCGAATGAGTTCACAAATCTATATATGAGTTGAATCAACTTGTCTTGATATATTGCATGTCTAAGATATGAATCATATTGTGAGATACATTGATTCAATAGGTACATATGTGAAATGTATTAATTTCCATGCGTATTTTGTCGCCTTGTCTGTAAGGTATGACAAATTTAACCATTGTATCCAGAAGCTTAGGCCATGTTAAGTTGTGGGTTTCCATTCTAAGATGATACAACTGTTGTATTTATGATATGGGTCAAGGATCACTTTCAAATAACAAAACATGTACCCCTTTACAACTATGTTTCCATGATTGTTGCAGTAATCTTTTCGCTTTACTAATCAAGAACTTATTTCCTAAAGTCATCTATCTGCATTGGTCTTCTACAGATGCACTGAGACAAAAAATTGCCTGAAGTTGGTGAGGCTTCCGGTGAATTAAAACCGCCGCATGGTCGCGAAGCAATTATGCCTCGATAGAGGAAAGACAAGATGATGCCCTCCTACCTGTAAAAATATTCGATAAGGTTGATACTATGACCGAGTTTTCCAACCTAATCGTAGCAGTCTTTGATGCGCGTCACTTTCAAGATTCCAACATGTATTTGGCTCTCGCCACGTGTACCGTATTATACTTACGTAAATAGGTTTGATATAAAAATGACAACAAATCCTTGTTTTTGCGTGTTCAAAATATAATCTCATTTCTTCAGCTGGTTATCTTTTTGAATGTTATCGCTTGCGTGTGCTTACTACCGAAAGCTCTGAGATCAAAGTGTTATCAAATGTTTAAACTACATATATATATGTTGGATGGAATCTATTCAGTGTTTAAGAGAAAATCTCATTTCTTCAGCTGGTTATCTTCTAGACAACCTTCTTTCTCCTTCACGAGCTGCAAACATGCATGTATTGTTCTTCCTCTTCCTACTCAAGCCCTTGCCCATCGTCATTCTGGCCATGGAGTAGCGGCGAGCGCAGGTGAAGCGAGCCAGAATTATTTGGGGGGGGGGGGGGGGGGCGCGGTGCGCAGAACGACCGGGAATCCGTGAATAAAAAGAGCGGAAATTTATGAAAAATGTATAAATCACTTTGACCATTTACCAAGCATGCTCTCATAAAGCAATGAGACTGGTCCATCATTTCTGCTTAGAAACATCAAAGCAAGAGCTACATTTTTTTCATCCCAAAAACCCTAGACTCTTGAGAGAACTAGACCCTCTAATAACTAGTATGATTGAAGAGAATGTGGATCCCTCTCAAATAAAGATATGGAATGAGAAAAGTTGCTTAGCTTGGGAGTGTGTCCGACTTGCATCATAACAAGTAATGCAATGTGAATTAACAATTTCGACAGCATAACTAATTAAAAGACTATTTTTAAATAATTAATAGGATTTGAGGGACTAAATATGAAGTTCGTAGATTTAAAGGACTAATTCAAAATATTAAAGATGTAAGGGATCAATACCCAAAAAAAAAACCCTAAATGTAAATGTCCTACAAGCAGTTGTTTAATACACCACTCTTATAGAGTTTCACTATCCTTCATGGCCATTAGGCATTATTTGTTCTTAATGTCAAAATTAGTTATAACTGTACCGTAAACTTTATACTATTTTTGTACTATCACAAACAAAGACTGAGGAGGTCCATGATGACTGACAAATTTCTTTTAATAATTTTTAAGAAAAGGCCACACACATTTATTAGTGACAGGCACACGGCAGAAAAGTAATATAGCATTTGTAGTAAAGTTATCATTTTCTCAAGGGTGTTGCTACAGGGACCCAAATAGGGGACCCAAGGCATGAGACAGGTGAGGTGTCATCATCTGGTTGCATGATGGACTGTTCATGAACAATACATCATGCAATCGGATGGTGACACCTCATGAACAGTACATCATGCAACCGGATGATGACACCTCACATGTCTCATGCCTTGGGTCTCCTATTTGGGTCCGTGAGGCATTAATGTTTTCTTAAGAACAAACCTACCAGCTAAAGGATGTTCTCACAGGATGTGCACTCCTTTTTAAAATCATATGAGACTGTTTAAAGTAAATAATTAATGAACAATACAGTAATAATTTGTTCAAACAAACTGACGGTAAAGTTTGATTTTTAAACCACTCAACAAGAGCTAACTTGATCTATGCAATGCGCAATCTCATTCTCCTTGCAATAAATTACTTCTCAAACAATAATTTTCTCCGAGCAAAAAAAATAAAAATAAAATAGATACATACAAATTGAAAATTCCAATAAGAATCAATCCAGCAAACTTAACATGCGGCCACTATGAGAGGTTCTACAGGAAAATCGTGAGAACTTCATTTATTAGAATTAACCAAAGGGCATGCTTTTTGATGATAAATGGTAAATTAAAATAACCCCACGCAATTTTATTAGTAAGAGTTTAATGAATAAAAAGCAACTACAACAGCAGAAAATCTTCAAAAGTTACCTGCACGAAAACAGTAGTCCCCGAAGGAGGCTATATATGGAAAAAGTACCAGTAAGAAAAACAGAAAACCTTATTAGCGAGAGATTGTCAAAATACGCTCCGGCTGAACAAACAGATTCTTGAACAAACAGACAGCATACTGAACACCTCCATCAGTACTAGATAAGTTGAGGATATCAATAGTCAGAAAGTGAAGGAGGAGCAAAGTTGCCGCCCACGCTTGACATGGGTATCGATATCCCTGTGCAGGGTATCGATATCCCTGTGCACCTCGATGCTCGAGTCGTAGCTGGTGATGATGAAGGCATTGCATTTCCCATCATTTCGTAAGGTGTGATATGTCCATACATTATAGATAACTGATTATAAACTCATATGTGCTACTGTACAATGCCACAAACTTAGCTGTACATGCTGAATGGCATGGTTCACATAAGGAACATTTTATCCACCAAGTCCAGTCCTCACATACGCGCACATATCTTCCACTCACAGAAAATAGAATAGAATAAAATAAAAAGATAACTGCATCAACTTTTATACCGTAATATCTGTATCATTCTATAACAACACTTATTGCAACATCAGAAACCGAAAGCACTAGCATCATAGCTTAACATATATACATACACAGATGCAACAAAATCGCTCCTCAATGAGCAGCTCTGGATTCATATATTTCACAACCTGGCACTTGAGATCCATCAACATCAGCCCACACCTCATTAACTCGACCAATGATACGAAACGGGGAACTGTATTGGGCAATCGAATACGCGTTCTTGTCTAGAAAGTCAGTGGAGTTTGCCCAACTAGATCGACTCAAACTGAGAGCCAACTTCTCAGCCTCTTTGATAATGTTGCTGTCCCTGGCAAAACCTGAGAATTTCCTCACAGCAGTACAGTGGCTTGCCCATTTTACAGGCTGGAGGTTAAGTTCGGGGAGGGGAAGTGGAGGAGAGGCTTGGAATTTAACGGGAAGGTAGAGACGAACAAAATAGGCTGAAGAGTGGAGAGGGCCTGCATCTGGAACAACGCTTGTTAATACTGGAGCAGTCATTGCTATCCTTGACCAATTTAGATTTGCTCCTTGAATGTATTGAAACAATCTGAAATGTTTTGCATGAAATTGATTAACTTAATTTAACATAGAGATGAAAAATCTGACATCGAAGCATCTACAGCCAGCAAATTCAACAAATACCCAGAATTGGATTTGCCAGTTAGACACTAGTTATGGCAGATAAAATCTGTGGGATACAGAGAGAGAAAAGCAGTAAGTTATAGCTGGACGCGACAAGCGAACCAGCCAGCCAAACCACATTATTTGTACTGCAAAGATGTTACGATGAATTCAAACTCCAAAAGTGCTTTCTATAATTTATGTATAGGTACATACAGAGACAGACAGATATATCACGGAGAAAATGTTTAATAATCCCAAAAAGTAGAAACGCACACATACAGGCACATGAACAATATGATCAAACAGGAGTACTCCTTAAGACATAATTTTCCTCCAACTATAATGGATAAAATGCTAGGAAACCAAACAACATTTAAGCTAAATCGAAACAAATGAATATCTCCAGTGCGGGAACTAAACAACAGAAATATGGTGATTGAATTTTCATCTTAGAGTTGCTGATCATACTTAAAACAGGAGTGATTTTGCTTAGTGCATGGCTGACTAACTCCTTCTGAACAACAAATATCAAATTTCTCTTGTATGAGGGCAAGTCTCCTAGTCCACATCTATCGTGTCATTTTTCTACGTGAGCAGAGCCATGAAAAAAGCGCAAAGCTAAACTCTTTCAATTACATAACCAAGACAGAGACATTTGTCCATCATACAATACTCTGATTCTGCCAAAAACACTAGGACTAGGTATTACAGACACAATGCAAAAAAAAAAAAAAACAAACATGACAGGAAATCGGATTCACAAGCTGATATTAACTCAAGAAAAACCAAAGCTATAAGCATATATGAATGCACAGGAATGACAAATAGTAGCAAATCACAAAAGACCAAGAGTGTTAGTTAAGGTGAGACATTACAATAAGGGGAAATGACATACAGACATGACAAGAATGAATTAAAACCACTGCAAGTAACGAAAACAGGAAGATTCTTTAGACCCGTAATTAAGAAGACAGCTGACTCAACGAAATAGAGCATCCAAGTTGACCACAAATAGTGAGAATTTAGGAAGAAATGAGAGAGGTTTGATTCACAAAATCAAGAGCGATTCAGCATTACGATCCATGAGCTAGCATTTAATCTGTAACAACATGTCCATGTGATCACCAGAGAAAATCAGACAATATTCACACTGTCATCCAAATATGCATGTACAGGTTCAAAAGGGAAAATTTTTTATCCTAATCAACTGATTTTATCAAGAAAGATTACTATAATTTTAGGATTGGTGTTGACCATCTCTCTTTATGCATGAAAATGTTATATACTTTTATTTAAGAAGAGTAACACAAAGCATAAAGAGACAACAACAATCTGAACTAGTACCTAGACACAAGGCTTTAAATATCGGATATCAAGGAAATATCGCATGACCAATATTCATATCGGATTGCGGATATTGGGAAAATATCAGGATATTTGGTAGATATTGGCATGCTATATTGGATGATGTGAATATATAACATAATGTCCTAAATGTAACCTAAACATACATAATGAAATCTAAGAATACAAAAATATAAATAAGATATGTTTAAGATCGCTAATCAACCTTTTAAAATAAATAAAAGTCAAACTCAACATTGCAACATTTTTTCCTATTTTTTGAGGCCAAATGTCACGTGATATATTTGGAGAATCATGATGTGTCACCCGAAATTTGCCAACAGCGGTATATTGTTTTACTATGAGCCATATAAAAGGGCAGATCAGCCAACATATCAGCTAAAATATTGACCATGCTGGGGATATATCGACCAAAATTGTCAAAAAATAGTGAAGGATATTTAGACCATATCGGTTGGCATCAAGCGTTGTAAAAGGATATATCAGCCAACATATTGGGCCATGTCAGGGATATCTAAAACAATGCCTAGACATAGTTCAAGTAGGATTTGATGAGTGAATAACCACAACAAATGAAGAACACGCCATATCTCACACCTGCATTTGCACATTATAGTTCCTCATGATCTGAAGGTTTTTAATCTCTGAATCTCTATAATGATAATAAATTTTTAATTTTGCATTTGCATATGCTTTATTCCCCTTGTTGTATAACAAAAAAAAGGACGAGTTTGATACTTACCAAGTAGCAATTAATTCCAAAAAAATCAGGAACATTACACTAGATTATTGGTTTATCATCAGCAGCTACTAGGATTACAGTTTCACAGTATTCCAATTTTTGCATAGGATACTCATCTGCTTGTCCACATGAGTGCAAGAACATAATGGATGGTTGGAGTGAGTGGTGTAGGTAGGACGGAAAAAGTGTAGCTTCTTCAGTTAAGTATTTAAGATGGCAAGCAACCAGGTGCGTCTGTAAACCTATTCAGCATTATTACCTAAAATATGACTTTCACTAAGCCAGGGAACAATCTGGAGAACAAAAATCAACACAAACTGACTGAAGGAGAGAAGTCAAAATTGCAGCCAAACAGCAGACAATTATCAGCATGGAGCACTCAGTTAAGCACAGATAGAACACCATTTTAGAGCCTTTAATTTACCATTAATAACTAACATGCGAGAAATTCATGCTATCAAGAATCCTTAAATGGTGCACTTACAAAGTTACATCCTAAATTATCTCTACATTCAAGGTTTCAGTTTGTTCATAAATCATCACAAACACCGATCCCTACCATGAATAGACAAAGTGAGGATTCAGAATAGAAAGAGACCTAGTGACAAGAGAAATTAATGCTATCAAGAATCCTTAATAGGCATAGATTAATTCTAACTTAGTTGAATTGTTCACAAAGAAAAACTTACACCACCACAAAGCCAATAGCAACAAAGCCAAAATTCGGGTACATGAATATTATTCACCCATCCAGTTATACTAAAGGCTATCACCCCTATTCTGTTAACCATTTTCATATTCTTCTTAATTGCTTAAAACAAAGTTCTCCTATGTCTACCTTTAGTTCTTTGCCTCATTAACTATAATCTTGTCACTTCTCCTAACCGTTGCATTTAGTGGCCTCTATGCACATGAAGATACCATCTCAACTGATTATCTCTTCCAATCCTCAAAAGAAGTATCCTCTAACCTCAAAGAAAAACTTACACCACATAAACCTAAATAGCATTAGCCCTCATGGTTCTGGGTGAGCAGTAGTATTTTAATCCTAGAAGTTGAACATGAACCATGCATCAGAAGAATTTTAAAATTCAACATAAGTAGTCACCGAAATAATTCTATACCATGATTCGCAGAATCGCTGCTATCGGTTTGACCACCGGAACAAAAAGTTTTTAAAAAAATATATCAGAGTTTTATGGCTTTGTGGTTGAACACAAGAATGAAAATGTTAGCTCTTCGCTTCTTTTTTTCTCATTAGTGAATGAATAAAGATTCATGTAACAGACCACAAAATTTTTAGATAAAGGCTTTGCTGTTGTATGTAACTGATAGCAGACGTACCAAATTGGGAATTTGATCTACCGCAGTCCCTACAGAAAAGACTGATGCATAATAACAAAATCAATCTAAAATCCATCGTAATTCACAGAAGAAATCACTCACAACAGCAAATTGAGCTGGCCCAGTAAAACCCAACTCAAAAAATCGCAAATTAAACTGCAAGTTGCCATCTTTTTTTCTCAAAATTGAAACATCGGTAGGGCTTAAAGAGAAATCGATACCGATGGAAGCCATTCTTTGTTGCTTTCTCGAAGGAGATGTCATCGGCTTGAGCTGACATCCATGCCGATTCTCTGTAGAGCCTAATCTCGAAGTCCGATTCAGAGTGGATTACTGTGTACTCTGGGGACTCGATTGCAGAGACTGATGCAGCGAAGAAGAGGAACGGAGTGGAAATGAGGAAGAAGGATAACTTCTTCATCCTTTGAGTTGATCCTTTTCTTCGATCGATCCCTCGAGAGGTTAATGGGGTGCCCCATCACAAGGAATAAGCCCCCCTGCAAACGGTTAAGAGGAGTGATTAAAGTTAATGATTAAAGTATTTAGCTTATTCGATAATAAGAAGTACTAAATTAAGAAGGGCTAAATTATTAACCTGTTAAATAAGTTTTATTTTAGTCATTGTGATCAGTTTTAGTGTTTGGAAATAATAATGATTTTGACTATTTTCTTTATAATTAGAAGGGTTAACTCTTAATCATTCTAATTAGGAGTATTAGTCAACCCCTTATTTTGATGGGTTAACTTATTTTAATCGCTCTAGAGAGGTTAGCTTAACCCCTTTATATTTTTTATGTTTGGCAAATTACGGAGGGTTAACCCACTTTAACTCTTGTATAGATTTTTTTTGTTTGGCGGGTTAAGAAGGGGTTAAGTCTCTTTAACCCATCATTTAACCTTATACTAAACGGTCCCTAAATGATTTGGTTTTTTTAAAGATATTATTCTCTTATATTTTTCGTATATTTGGAAATTAGTCTACCAACTAACTGGGATCTCTGTAAGGTCGGTCCCCAGTTGTGTACTCATTTCGTAATCAGTCCCACAAATCATTGAGTTTTTAAAGCTATTTTGAAATTAGTACTCCCAGTCAGAAATAGTAGTAGTAATTAGAAGAATTGTTTCTGAATCACAGTAAAAAGCTAGACAATTGAAACTACAAGAAGATAGAGTGGTTCATTGAAACTACAAGCCTGATAGAGTGGTCAGTGCTCAGTTGGAGGACTCATGGATTTAAACCCGAAAGGGGGGACATTTTCAAAGAGCCAAAAACTGATTGGACCATAGGAGCAGATCAATGCCTTCGAATGAAGGATCGGATAGTTATTGTTATTAATAACGCCGAAATCCAGGCCTTACACACATGAGGGATTTTATCTCGATCCATAATTAGAGATAAACCTATGTCTAATACGTGTTGTCGGGTAATCCATTCTCGTGAAATTGACCAAGTCTATGTATTCGGCATCATAGCACTAAGTCTAAGAGAGTTTATTCTTTTAGCATAACGTTACATATGGAACGGACTTAGACAATCCACATGCTAGCCCGACTCAAACGGTAGTCGGTAAAGACTTATCAAATCCATTGATGGCTGAGGGTTTACCAAAAATCCTATTATGCGTAGACGTCGAACTCATCTTTGTGTCTCAAGTATAGACACTAAGCTCATATCTGCGTTTTAACTACCAAAACACTGAGGTCAGACCCGTGTTTCAAAATCAACACGTAGAGGCCAACCTCACGTTTCAAATACATAGGTCCAGCCATGTGTTCCAGAAGCAGAATTGTGACGATCACCAAGGAGTCAATAGCTCCAAGATCAGAATGAAGATCCAAAGTATTCTGAAACTTTGTCTCAGTTAACCGCGAACTTTCGAAAACTTTGGAGGGGTTCTGTAGGCTGTCAAAAAAATCACAACAGATAGCTTATCCCCATCAAACATCAACAAGGGGAGTTACAATTCAACGACTTCCAGAAAGCTACAATTTGAAGACTTTCACGTAGATCGATGAATGTTACAAATCGACGACATTCACGATAACCGATGAAAGCTCTAATCAATGGTCTTCATAACCAATAATGAAAGTTATAATCTGACGACTCTCACATTACAAAGAGCTAAAGTGAAGATTGTAAAACAACGATCGTCGCAACGTTCTGACAAAAGAAATTACAAGTCAACGATCTCTTTAATCCAAGACGCAGAACTCATCCCTGCATCCCAGAGGTGAAACACAAGTGATTGTGTTTCAGAGTCAAAGCAATGCAAACATAGCTTCAACCCAGCTGCAAACGCAACTTCCAATAAGTTACCAACGCAGCTTCCAAATTTCTATAAACGCAGCTTCCAAGCTGCCAACACAGCTTCCAAATCATTGCCCCATGCGACTCCCATCCGCTGCTCAACGTAGCTTCCAAAAGCTACTCAACACAGCTTCCAAAAGCTACCCGACGTAACTCCCATCCGTTGCTCAACGCAGCTTCCAAAAGCTGCTCGACGCAGCTTCCAAAAGCTGCTCGACGCAGCTTCCAAAAGCTGCTTAGCGCAGCTCCCAAACTGCTACGTTTAAATATAGAATTCCTATGAGAACGCAGATTTTGCGTTTGACTCGTTCAAACATGAGCTGAACAGTTCCGAAATCGTTTCCCACGATTTGAGGGTGGTTACACCCCATTTAGGAGTGATTTAAGGGGCGGTTACACCCCCTTAATTCCTTATAAATGCGAGGAAACTAAACCTAGTTAGTGGTGGATTTTTTGGATCAGAAACGGCCTAAAGGGATCGGCATTATCCCTCAATGGAGATCATCTTCAACTTCAGTAACGAGGAGCTCGTTCTTGGCTATAACCAACTTTCGGTTCAAATCAACTTTTTTATAAGAGTTTAAACTCGCTCTGATTTCCTAAACTCGTTAAGAGTTAATTTCAAACTTGCTTTGTAAGTTCTCCACAGCGTCAAATCGTAAGGAGAAGATATTATTCCAGTGAAGTGAGACGTTCAGATCATCAACGAGAAGCAAACTCGACACGAGTTTCAAGTGAGACATCTCATCAACACCAAGAAGAATCCAGGTTAAACAAAGGGGAAGATCTCTGCCGATCTTCTTCTCTTTTGTAATCGAAAATTTAAATTGTAATCAGTTAGAGATTGAGAGAATTATAAACATTCTTTTTCTAAGCAGTTAGAAGGAATAAATCAAATCAATTCTTTCATTTTCTTATTTTAATTTTCCGACAAACAAAAGATAGAGACTCCGCCAGGGACTAGCTTTTTCACTGATAAAGAAGTGGTACCGCAATCCGACATCAAGCTCGCTAGAATGACCGTTAAAACTCTAATCATCATGTTCGATCAAGCCAAGTATGAGGAGGTATTCTTCTCCGGATCCCTTAGCCCCAAGGCTATGCGTAAGATCCACAAAGTCTCTAAGGAGACTAAAGCTCTAGTTATGACCGACTCATCAAAGAACTGTCTCCCCTGGGGGTTGCACTGAACAGTCCCCTCACCGAAGGAGAAGACTTAGCTTCGGCCAAACTCATCCATCGAGTTGAAGGTTCGGTATCCGCGCTAAAGCGACGGGTATCAGGTTACAAAAAGCCTATCGCGGTGACCAACTCTGTTAACACCGACGACATCACTGCAAAGGCCTTGAAGCAGGCTAAGAAGAACACCACTCGACAAAGGAGGAGATCCCTATGACGAGCACAACTTTGAGAAGACCAATCCTCAAGTCAACACGAGCTTCGTGTTTGTGAGCCTAAACGCGACCCTGTGCTCTGCGTTTCTGCTTCAAAAATGCAAGTCTCGCATCTATGAGCCCAAACATAGGCTCTATGTGAATAAGACTGAACGCAACCCTTAGTGGCGCGTTATACAATCAAAACGCAGCCTTCAGGGGTGCATCCCACAAACTGAACACAACTCTTAGGAATGCATTTCAAAACCAAAACACAACTCTTAGGAATGCGTTCCAAAACCAAAATGCAACTCTCAGGAGTACGTTCCAAAACCAAAACACAACTCTCAGTAGTGCGTTCCAGAACCAAAACGCAGATCTCACGACTATGTTCCACTAGAAAAATGCAGATCTCAGGACTACGTTTCACCAGCAAAACTTAGACCTCAAGCTTGCGTTCGGGTAAGGAAACTCAATATAGAACCTGATGTATACCGTGGAGCATCAGGGCACTACCCTGAACCCTACCGGGGGGTTGTCTACCCCCTTCCCCCCCAGCCAGGGGTGCGCCGCCCCCTGGACCCCTGACTCGCTGACCGGGTAGCGAGACCCCTGAATATTCTGCGTAGTGTGACTAAGTTAAGGAGCGGATATAAGAAGTCCATGGATTTAAGGTATCTCAACCAGATCCATGTTCACCAAGAGCCAGTCATGTCCAATCATGGACTAGGGGTTCCAATTCAAACCTAGTGATCAGCAAGTAACTCTTCTCGAGTTTCTGCAATGAAGTTGAGGGAGTTCATATCAGGAGAAAGGCCGATACAACAAGTTGCTTGTTCATGCCAATGCAAACAACTGATTTTTTTAATTCTCTCAGGATGTCAGTGCTGCTCATGTGCAGTCAATTTGTCGATGTTCAACTGGCCAACGAACCTGCTTTGCTCAATAACCAACGATGTTCTCACATGAAGAAGACTTCAGATGATGAATACTTTAGAGTCACTTCTAACATGGTCGGCAGAAGGAGATCATCAGTCCCTAGTTCTGATGAGTCAAAGACGGATCATTCTCCAAGCGTCAGAGAAATCTCTAAAGAGTTTGAAGGAGTCTACCAACACACTCGGACTCGGATGGGAGCCATTCCTCCTGTCAACTATCAGAGGTTAACAAAATGAATCAATTCTGAGGATGAACACTCAGCCATTACGGAGTCCCAATCATCAAGCTCTTTCGTTGGACATGAGAGCTTCGCCCATATGGTAGAAAATTCTGAAGATCTCTCAAAGAAGCTTGCTCAGGAGGCCATGCTCCGAGTACAGTAGGAAACCATTAATCAACTTTGGGATATGATGGCTCAGATCATTGCCAATAGAGCCAATTTCTAGAAAGCTAAGTCATAACCTCGGTCGGAATCCACCCGAAAAGGAGGATCATCCATATCAAAAGGGGAACAAAGAGTGAATGAGATTGCAGAGCAAGAAACTCATCACGTAGAATCATCTTCCGAAGAAGAGACTGAGAACGAGCAGAATCTCCATTCTACCAAAATGGAAGAATTGAAAGTCCGTCTCAATGTCATTGCTAACAGAAGTGAGCTCCAAGATGAGGGAGTTGCGGGGCCCTATCCTGCCGAATGTGATGCAGTCCCTTATCCTCCAAAGTTTGAGGACCCGACGCTACAAACTTTTAATGATACGGGATCACTGAATTAAAATATCTATCATTTCAAGTCACAGACTAGGAATGTGATATCAAACAATGTCATACTGGCTCGATTGTTTATTAGCACTCTCAAAGGAGTTGCCTTT